CTTCATTTGTGTCTGCCCTTTAAGACACAGGATTCTTACCATACATCTTAACTGAGCCTCTCACACTCCTTTTATGAAAGTTCACTGGTCCTGATAGATGATGAAACTGTTCTGGGTCTATTTCTAGGCCATGCATTTTGGGAGGCCTGTGCTCCCCCTTTCCAAGTCTTTTTTTGTCTCCTTATCTAACTCACCTTGAGGCAAATGAGGAATTTTCCCTTGATTTCTGAGAGCTGGATCAAGTCCATAGGCTCAAAGAAAGCACACAATCAGTTGTTAGGACTCTCAAAAATAAGAATATACAGTTACTACGATAATCAAGATAGCAACAGGCCAATGTTATATCTGGCAAACTTGTTGCATTTTTAATCTATTCAATATGTTACTGCTTTTTCAAGAACTAACCATCTCTAATTGGGAAAATGAATCACTTTTTCCAAGCATTTAATAGTTTTAACCCTTGTATTTTCTTCTGATTTAAGCCTCTGTTAAGAAGAATATGCAACCAAAAGGTTCAAATAAACAAGAGGAATATTTGTCATTTCTTTTAATTTTCCTCCTGTTCTGTTCTTCATTTTTCCTGCTCTCAACTCTAGTGCTTGTGAAAGATGCTAAAGTGACAATACAAGAGGCTGAAGTGCTTTACGTTTTCAAAATATATTACCCTGCCCAGCTACTATGCTTCCAACCACACTCAGAAACAGCATCTCTTGAGGCAACTTAGTCTCTGTGGCCATGTATAGATGAAATGAGGGGCATGTGTGCATGACACTTTAAAGCAGGCTAAATGCTTTTGCAGTGCTTTAATGGTGTCAGTGTTTGCACACCTTGGCGGCATATTGCACATTAATTCCAGCTGCTGTAGGAAATTAGGCAGCATAATGGCTCTTAAATGACTTGGGGCGCAGCTGCAAAGCAAAGCACTGGGATCCGTGCAGCTCAGGAGCTCTGCAGGAAGCCCTGCAGGCAGCCTGGCAGCAGCCTGGCAAGACAGGCTCCACCCAAGAGAGGGGGGAAAAAAAACTGGTGAGCCTGATTTCCCTTCCCCCTGGAGCCTGCCTGCCTGAGTTGCACAGGAGCCCAGTGCTCCCTCTGTAGCTTCTGTTCCTCCCAGGACAGCCCAAGCCGGGCACCTATGGGTGGGTGCCGCCTGGTGAAGGGCTGCTGCTGCCATGGAGGGAAGCACCAGCCCCGCAACCCTGCAGCCCAGGGACCGCTCCACCCACTGGCAGCTCACCCTCCCCTCTCCACTGCCAGAGAGGCAGGTAAGTCAGTGTATGCACGACACGGGGGTTTAATCGGCCCTAAATTAAAGTGGTGTTTTTAAAAACCCACTGCTTCAATTTAGGGGCC